AAGAATTGGAATGCAAGAAAAATCAAACCAAGAATCACACGAACAGATCATAGTAGATGTGATAGTATTAAGACCAAAGGGATGAGACTAAACACACCTCTCAGCATATGTGGTGCCGTGCTTCCCTTACTCCCCAACTTCTTACAAACTGGAAAATCCTAAATTATTGAAAACAAGTTATGTAATGGACATGAAAGGTTCTGTCTTGAAGAGAAAAGTAAGACCAAAATTAAGAATTCATGATGGAGATAACCTCGGCTGCAGAGTTAGAGGAGCAAAGGGGAACGGGGAAGGGAAGAAAGCAAGATACCCAGAGTAAACTATTTACAAGTTTTAAATCCAAAAACAAATAGAAAAAGATGTCTAAAAAAGGCTTAAATCTAAATAGTTAACAATTCATTAAGTTTCAAATACAAATAAAAGAGAGGGGACAAGACTCTTCTTATATTACTCGTAATCCTGAGTGTTAAGCATTTATTTTCTTTAAAACTCCACTCAGATTTGCTTCCTAGAAAACCACGGAAGCTAACTGCTACTCTCATTAACCAAGTTAGACACACTGCAACAGGGCCGTATAGCTGGCTTCACAAACAAATACAGTGTCAATCAGAAGTTTCATTGATTTTGTAATCATAACAATGGTGGTCAGAGAATAGATCTTTCCACTTTCCTAAACTATCCATGCAAATGCAACAATCATGCTAATGCAGCAGAACAATATGATGCCCATAACTAGCTTTCAAAACATCAGATAAATAAAGTAAACTTAATATTTTTGCATTATTTGAATAATCAAAAATTGAATTAAAAATTCCACAACCAAAAAGCATGTCATCCAGTTGCACTAGCTTAGAAATATAGCTTAAGTGCATGGGTGCCACAGTATATAGGTAGAAAACACAAAAAAAATGGCACGGATAGATGAAGTTTGACATGTCCACGGCAAACAAAAACTTTTGAAAGAAATAAATTACCAGGCAAAACATAAATATAGAGCAATGAATCTATGCAATCTATGGGAAAAACTTTTGAAGCTGTGAAGTGTGAACTGTGAAGCAGTGAAGGCCAATTGCAGAACAGGAGGCACACAGAACGTGACCGGCGTCGGTGAGAGCAGAGACAAGCGCCGGTGAGAGCAGAGACAAGTGCCGGTGAGAGCAGAACAGCAGAAAGTAGGGTCGATGAACTGAAGTGAAAGAAAGTATCAGCAGAAACCAGTTCCGAACTTCCGATCAGAGCAGATCAGCAGACAGCACAGCAGACGCAGAGAGCAGCTTCGGTTCGGTGTATATCAGCATAAAGCAGAGCAGCTCCGGTGAGAGCAAATCAGCAGAAGGCAGAGAGCAGAAAGCAGATCAGCAGAAGGTAGATAGCAACTTCGGTTCGGTGAGAGCAGAGAGCAGCTCCGGCGAGAGTGCATTAGCAGAAGGCAGAGAGCAGGTTCGGTGAGGGCTGCAGATCAACAGCTGCAGAAAGCAGAGAGCAACAGAGCAACACCGAAGATCGGACACAGCAGAGAGGAAGGGGAGCGCCGGCGGTGTGGGTGAGGGTTGAGAGGCAGAGAACTTGGGTTGGGACTTGGACGACCGGAGGAGTCGAGCTCGAGGTCGAGGGTTTTCTAATTTGGTGTCTGATGATTTTGTAATTTTGTTAAAATTAAGGGTTAAAATGGGTATAAGAAAGGAATGGAGGGTGAAATTGGAAAAAATTGAAAAAAGATTGCATGAGAAATTGAATTGATGGTTTTTTCAGTTTCATCAATTCATTGGTTTTATTGGTTTTGATCGATTTTGACATCAAATGGTTTTTTTATGTAAATCGAACCATTTTCATCATTGGGTATCGATTCGATCGATTTAACCGACTGATTTGGTCTAATTTTAAAAACCTTGAGTTTAATAGATAAAAAAAAAGTGTTTGCAGTCCGGTTTTGGACTGTACAATACTTAATGTTAGATATGGGATGAGTCATATTAAGAACCCTTCTCTCATCTTATAATTCTTATTTTATAATACGGTAAAATCTAAATAATAAAACAAAAAATTCTTAATAAATAATTAGATCAGTTTTGCAAACTACTACTTGTTAGTA